CTCCCCTGCCGTCCGTGGGGGACTGCTGGGGTCTCCCCTGCGTTGCAGCGATGTGGTCTGGGCCCCGAAGGCCGGCACCGGGTGCCTTCTCCAGAAGACCTGGGGCCGGAGGGGCGTTGCGCCCCCCGGAGGGAGCAGCCCCTGGCTGCTGGCTGACGCTGGCCAGATGAGCAGTGCGCAGCTGGGGAAATCACAGCCCTGCACTCCAGGCTCGTTCTGACCAGGAGCGCCGTCTGCCCTGCTCTCCGAGGGGGACCGGGCAGACGCCTCACAATGCGTGTCCTGAGGTGTGTGCCGAGCCTGGGCCCAGCCCCTCTCCAGGCTGTCAGCTGGAGGGGGACCACTCCCAAGTGTCCCCGTGGGAAGTGTCCTGAGAGCCTTGTCTCAGGTTAGGAGCTCCGCCCCAAACATCAGGCATTACTTGGATGGGCGGGAAAAGTGGAGACGAAATCAGGAGTGAACATGAGGGCAAAAGACAGGCTTTGGGTTTTGGGGGGCGCAGCATGTGGTAAAGTGGTATTGCGCTCTGGTGAGTGCACCCCAGCCCCCACCGGGGTCATCCAGGCCTCACGAGCCTGAGCGCCCCAGAGCCACAAGGGGTGGAAGTCGCGTGGGTCCACGTCGGGAGTGGGCGGTGACGTGGGGGCGAAGGCGCAGAACCCCTGGTTTCCACGCCCACGGGCCTCCGCCGCCCAGCGAATTCCACGCGCTCGGAACCTCGGGGGTGGAGTTCCCTGTGCCCGGCCCCATCCGCGGAGAAGAGCGTGTGGGCAGAGGTGGTCGGTGTCAGGCCCCATGGGCTCCCGCCCGGCACTCAGCTGGGGGACCCGCGGCCGGCTGTGCCCCTCTGAGCCCGTTTCTTCGGGCTTGTGGAGAGGCCTGCGGGTCACTGGAGCAGACCTCGCCCTCCTCCCGTCTTCTCTTTGGAGGGGCTCATTCCCCTGGGGGTCCTTAATAGCTTTTAAGCCACTTAGTGCTAGGTTGGCGGCTAAGGCTTCTGTCTGCGGTTGACTGGGTCCGCTGGGGAGCAGCAGGGTGACCCCCAGGCCCTGCCCTCCTGCCCGGCCGGGCTGCTCGGGCCTGAGCCCGGGCTTTTCTGTAACTTGCTGAATGACATGTCCATCATGTCCACGCTGACCTCGGGGTTCGGTTCTCCTGACCCCAGTCTCTGCTTTTCTGAGGCCTCCTTCTGGAATTTTCTTCTGAGCCTCCACCGTGGGGATGCAGACTGGCACAGCCATTTTGATCTAGGTTACCTTCAGAAGCTCAGGCGCAAATGCCACCCGACTCAGCAATGGCCCTCCCGGGCCCCTTACCCGAAGGTCGCGAAACCACCCCAGTAAGCATCTGTGCTGCGGTGTCTGCCGACCGGCCAGGACATGGGGACCAGTGCCCCCGAGAGGATCGGACCCCAAGACGTGGTCTGCGTGGACATGGGGCACGGCCAGCCCCAGGAAAGGGGGGTCACCGGGGACACGGAAGGCGCTGGGGAGAACCAGCGGCAGCACAGCACGGCGCAGTGAGAGACACACAGGGCGTTTGTGCAGTGGAGGATGCATGAGCCTAGCAGACTGCTAACCAGGGAGGCTTCTGAGGCTGGGGGTGGGGAGACAGGCCGAGGAGGGTCGGGGTGACGCAGGGACCAGGACACACCCGTGCACGGCGCGGAGCCCCCCGCCTTCGGCAGCGGGGGGCCGGGAGGCAGCGAGAGCCGCCTCTACCAGCCCAGGCTCATCCTGCAGGTTCCCGGCCGATCCCCCGATCCGCCCTGGCCCCGGGAGCCGGCGCGGGTGACCAGGTGCTCGCAACCTGCGGCTCTCCGTCCCTGCTCCTTTCTCCAAGCGCACGCTCCCTGGCCGGGCCTCGCGGTCAGCCAGCCCTCAGCTGTGCCCCACTCTCGGCCTGCAAGCGGGGTGACGAGCCGTCTGCCCCCGCCCTAGGGCTTGGTCATCGAGCGCGTGGGACGCAGACCGCTGCTCATCGGCGGCTTCGGGCTGATGACGCTCTTCTTCGGCATCCTCACCGTCACGCTGACGCTGCAGGTGAGGGGCATCTGCCGCACCCTGAACTAGGTCAGGCGTGCAAGGGGCCCCCCAAGGCCACCAGCTGACCAAGGCGGAGCTGGGTGGGAACCCGGCCCTCGGCGCCGCTACCTGCTCACGGCCCCTCGCCCTTCCCTGCAGGACCGTGCCCCCTGGGTCCCTTACCTGAGCATCGTGTGCATCCTGGCCATCATCGCCTCCTTCTGCAGCGGCCCAGGTGAGCTGCCCTTGGGCGCCCGTGTCCGGGGCTCCAGGCCCACCTAGGCGGGCAGGACGAGGCCGAGTGGGACGAGAAGGGCTTGTTCCCACCCGCAGGAGGCAGGCACTGCTCGCCCGTGCCCTGGTGCCCGGGGTGGTAGAGGAACACGCAGTGGCCCAGCCACAGGTGACAGTCGCCAGAGCTGTGAGCCAGAGACAGGAGTTGCTGAAAGGCCTGTCGGGGTGCAGCGTGCGCCCACAGAGAAGCAGAACGCCCTGGGGTGTGGCTGGAGTGCCACTGGGCTTGTCTCCCCACCACAGCCTCTGGGTGTACCTATGGTCTCGTGCAAGGACGCCGCCCCACCCCGGCCACTGACACAGGCTGGTGAAGTCGGAGCACCCACAAACTTGCCACGTGCTGGCCAGCCCACCAAGCTTTGCCCTCTGCATTTTTTAAAAAAAATATTTATTTGTGCATACAGATCTGGGGTACAGGCCAGAGGCTCAGGGGCGGCGAGACGCTTCACCAGAGACAGAGTGGGGAGCAGAACAGGCAGATCGACGAAGTACACTGCTGAGGGGAGCAGCGGGCGGGTCAGGAGAGGTCTGCCGCCCCATCTGGGTCAGCTCCGGGGCAGGCGGGGATCGAACTCATGCTCAAAGGGCTTTATCTTCTCAGTGCTGCGCTCTGACCCGCTGCGCCACCCGGGAGGGCCCGCCCCTGCGTTTTTACCAGCCCTCTCTCCTCACCCACCCTGCCTCATCCCTGATCAGTGGTCTGTCCGGCTGCTCCCCAACCCTCCGTGTTCGCCCAGCCACTGGGCCCCATCTCCTAGCCAGTGTGAGCCAGTGTAGGCCTTGTGAGGGCCACTGGCTGGCCAGTTCCAGCGAGCCACCTGCCCAGGGAGGGGCCCAGTGGGCTGCACGCCCCAAGTGCCCGAAGGGAGCCATCCACAGTGGGGTCCACAGCGGGAAAGCGTGGTGGGGAGAGATGCCAGGAGAGGAAGGATCAGGGCACCCCCACAGGAGGCCACCCCCCCACCCCAATCAAGGAGGCATCGCCCCCGGGGAGAAGCCCTGAGACTACCCGAGGCATCCTTGGGGAGCAGATGCATTCAAGACTTGACAGGGAGCTGAGGTCAGGTGAAGGGAAGACAGAAAAGCAGGCGGCTCCCCGCCAGTATTGCAGCGGGGCGCAGCACCCCCGGGCTGGGCGGGGAGGCCGGGCCAGGGAGGCTCCGTGGGTTTATCTTGGAGGGAAGCAGGTCATCGCTGGCATACGTCCACCATGGCGAATATTTCAGAATAAGTGTGCTCGTTGGCTTTTAACTTACAGAAGTCTATAGAAATGTATGTTTTTAAATATATAAACATCAAATTTAAACTTATATATAAAGAAAGAAGAGGGAATGGTGCACGCTGGCGCCCGTCCAGCCCGTGAGGGGCAGGGTGGCGACGCGCCCCGGCCACCCAACAAGACCAGGGTGGCCTCTGCTTAGGCACAGGTGCCAGCGGGAGCCGAGTGACCCCAAAGATGCGCCATCCTAGGGCCGGGAAGCGCACCCCTGGTGTGGAGAGGTGCCTCTGGTGGCCGTGCCGATTTATCTAGAAAGACTGCAGGGCGCACTGGCCCCACAGGGGACCGCTGGCACCTGCCTTCCGGCCCGGGGCCCCAGACCAGCATCCTCCCTGCTTCCCGGCCCACGGAGCTGACGCAGCTGCCCCCACTGGTGGGGTTTGGGGGTGCCCGGCCTCCATGGGTCAGTCCCCTGCCTACAGCTGGGGGGATGGCCCCCTCTTGTAAAAGGCAGCTCTCACTGGCTCTCGGACCTTCTTGGGCCGGGTCAACCCCTCCTCACTGGCCACAGCCGCGCTCCCGTGCAGACCTCACCCGTGTTCCCATGGCTGTGGCTGCACCAGCTTTGCTTCTGGGGTCCCGAGCAGGCCGTGTGGGAGCCCACGGGATTAGGGTCCCCTTGCCGACTTGACATACTCTCCGAGGTAGTGGACCAAGAGGTCACTAGTCCATCAGAGTGAGACGTCCAACCCTGAAGCTGTTCTACAGCTTTTACTCTGTGAGAGCTTCCGGTGGTCCCCCAGAGCTAGGGTTTAGTTGTATAAAACGGGGACACAGGCAGGGGGCTTCCTTCGGGAGGAGACACGGGGCTGCTCCTGAGATGAGCACTCTGCGAGAGCCACGAACTCCCTCATTCGCTTTCTCCGCGTGTGAGGAAGCTGAGCACGAGGAGGTAAAACACTGTGGCCGAGGCAAACCCTGTCAGGCAGAAGTCTGGGGTCCCTCGCGTGGGCAGGGCAGCCACCGGGCGCCCAGCGTGGTTTCTGTGGCTCTGTCCGTGGCGGGGCTGGCTGCCACCTCCACGCAGCGCTCCTGGATTGCACCCTGGGCAGCTGCAAGCCATTTTCCAAAACGTGGTTTCTCCTCAGCACACTCTACCCCAGAGCCCTTGACCTTATTCCCGGGCCTTGTGCCCCGGGGCCACCTCTGACAGGAGGCCCCGGCCTCTGGGGTCCGGCAGCTTGTGTGTGGCTCCCGGAGGGTTTACTGGGGCTCCATCTATCCTGCAGCGTGGACAGAAGGCCGGGTTTATGTCCCCGGTGCCGAGGCCACAGCGCAGCCACGACGTGGCCCAGCCCAGTGGCACTTTCTGTGTAGTGAGCAGCCTACCCGCTATTCCCAAAATTCGGTTTTGAGCATTAATCCAAGGAAGTAAATATCGATCGAGTATCTGCTTTCTGTTAAGGTGCCAGGGAGATGGAGGGCGCGGCCGCCTGGGGCCCCCGCTGGGGGCGGGGCTGGCCGTCCCAGTCCCTTCCCCGTCACTAACCTGAGCCGGAACCCCGCAGGCGGCATCCCGTTCATCCTGACGGGCGAGCTCTTCCAGCAGGCACAGCGGCCGGCCGCCTTCCTCGTGGCGGGCAGCGTCAACTGGCTGTCCAACTTCATAGTGGGACTGCTCTTCCCTTTCATCCAGGTATAGCGCTGGGCTTCTCCCGGGGGCCCTGGGTTCCGCGGCGTCCTGAGCGAGGCGTGGTGTGCAGGGCCAGGCCTGAGCCACGCTGGCCCGGGGGGGCAGGAGTGGGCCTCGGCCCCACTCGGGGTCCCTATGGGCTGTGGGGCCCGCCCCCAGCAACAAGCACTCCCGGCCTCTGGCCCACCCGGGAAGGTGTCGGGCTCCAGGTCATCCCCGGCGCGTGCTAGGGAGATGTCCCCTCGTCCGAGTGACGTCTCTGCCCCCGGGCGAGGCGCCCGGCCCCTGCCGTGTCCTGGGCCCGCCGCCTCCTTTCTTGGCCACCCTGGCTTGGTGCATCTGGGGCCAGCACCCCCCATTCACCCCATCACCTTGCCTAGAGATGGCGCATCAGCGGCCGCCTGTTTCCTGGCAGGTTGTACATTTTTCCTTATTTTGAGTGTAGAGCTAGGGTTTGGAGTGGGCAGAAGGCAGGCAGGTGTGAACAGCTGCCTTTCAGCGGATGTGTGTGAGCTGGGTCTTGACGCACAAACTGTAGCTGCCGGGGGCACAGGTGAAGGAGTCAGAGATGCCATCAGTCCCTGAAGGAGCTTCCCCACCGCCTCTCACGTGATGTTCAACATGCTTCTCTGACAACCTGCCCCGGAGCTCTGTCTTTTTCCCAATGGGAGGAGCTGAAGGTCATTATGTGTTGAGCGCCACCCTCTGTGGCTATTCAAGGCCATTATTTTTCATGGCTCTATAATATTCCTCCATCTGGATGTGGGCCGGCTTATTCCTCCACCCCCTTCCCAGGATCATCTCAGTGGATTCCCATCTCTTTGCTTCATGAATACACACTAAGACCTCCAGGTACAACACGCAGAAGTTTCTAGGTTGGTGGGAGTGGAGACTGTCCTCTCGGAAAGACCACAGCTCGAATGTGGCGACGGCCACTGACGAGCTCCACTTCTACTCCCTTCACCTCGAACAGCGCCACTCAGGAGGGCACCGCTGGGTGTCAGGCCACCCCCCTTGTCATCACACCGCGCCGCTTTCCCAAGGCGTCGTGGGCCTGAAGACGCACCCTCGCTTGGTGTGGCCAGCGCCTGGCTTCCTGCCGGCCTGAGGGACATGAGGTCATGGACACAGCGGGTCTGACCTGGGGTACCCGGAGCAGAGGAGCAAGGGGCACCTCTGACTGTGAGGATGTCACGGTCAGGGGGACAAGGCCCAGGTTCCCGGCCAGTGATGTGGCGAGCATGGTGGCTCCAGATGGAGGCTGGACTTCAGCGACTCTCAGGCAGTTCCTCCGCACGGGACGCCAGGCAGCCCCTCACGCCGGCGAGGACTTAGGGGTGGTCACTGACTTCTCAGGAGCGTCCGGCCGGACAGTGACTCCCCACATTGAGAAGAGACAGGAAGAGCATCACAAACGCTCCACCCAGTGCTCAGTGGCTTCCACCGGAGGCAGGAGCAGAAGCGAGACGGGGGCCGCCAGGTGAGGCCCGCCTGGCCTTCACCCAGGTGCAGCCCCTCCGGCTGTCACGCGCTGCTCGACCTCGGTTTCAGCTGGAAGAGGAGGCCCTGGAGACCTGCTTCCCAGCTGCTGCGGGGCGTCTCTCCAGCGGCCACTCTGCAGTGAAGGAGCCCAGGGCAGCTCCGTGGCAAGCCCAGCTTCTCGCTTAGCCCCGAGTGGCCCTGGCACTCCTCAGAACCTCTCACCCTCAGCTTCCTCCTTTGTAAACTGGGGCCTCCGCCTGGCTGGCGCCCGTGTTGCTGGCGAAGCGCTTACCAAGTGCCTTTCTCCTCCTGGAAGACCCCGACGGCGCCACAGTAGGCAGGTGGCTCCAGCTGCCGGCGGGAGCTGTTTCATCGGTGCACATGGGGTCGGGATCCCCGCTCCTGGCTGGAGGCCTCCAAGACAGCCCCCCAAGTCCATCTCACTGCTCCCCTGCACTCCCTCAGCCCTGCTCTGGCCGCTCCTGACTTTCGGTTTGAGCCTCTGAGTCGGGGCAGGCTGAGGGTGCGTCCCCGCCCGCCTCTCTGCCAGCTCGCTCATTCTCCTCTCTGGTCCTTACTCTTGGGCCGAGACACAGGACCAGTCAGTTCAGATTCCAGCCAGCCTCTCCAGCCCTACGTCCAGGCTGGGGCCACACCCAGCCAGCTAGAGTGACCACGTGTTAAACCCCGTCCCGCCTGCCCACGCAGCCTGCCCAGCCCGCCGGGTCCCCGCTGAAAGTTCCAGGCACAGTGATTCCGTCGTTAAGGCCAAGTTAAAGACATGCCCCCAGACTGCCCTGTCCTGGCTCTGCCGGGGTTTGGAGAGGGTCTCGTCTCATGGAGACATCCACACAGACTCCATTTGCCTCCAGCCTGCTTCACACGTGCTGCGTCTTCCCCAGGGAATGTTTACATAGCAAGGTGGGGGGGCTCTTAAAAATGCGTTCGGGGGTGCTCGTTCCGCAGGTTCAGCGATTGCGATTTGACTTGCTTTTATCTCTGCCCCCACAGAGAAGTCTGGACACCTACTGTTTCCTGGTCTTTGCCACAATCTGCCTCACAGGTGCTGTCTATTTCTATTTTGTCCTGCCTGAGACCAAAAACAGAACCCACGCAGAAATCAGCCAGGCGTTTGCCAAAAGAAACAAGGCACACCCGCCAGAGGAGAAGAGGGACGCGGCCAAGCCTGCCGACAGGGTGAATGGAAGGTCCGAGCGGGACCCCACGTGCACACTGGACAGTCACGGCAAAAACGGGGTTGTCTAGCGTGTGACCTCACCGCTTCAGGCCCCACAGACGTCTCTGTTTTTAGAGGCTCGTGCTAAAGCCCTGTGGCTTAACGTTATTACTTATTTAAAAATAAATCTGCAGTAATCTGACATCACAACCACATGGACTTTACTCATGGCTAAAAACCCCACACTCTTCTGGAAGCTGCAAGGCCTCCCCTGCACCTCTGTGGCCCCAGCATCTTCTGTAAGATCAGTGGCCAGCTGTCTCCATGCCTTACGCATGGTTTCAAAGTGAAATCGGGGAAAGAGAATGGAGATGTTATTTCAAAAAGAAAAATAGGGTCTGGTGGAGAACTAGACTGGCCCCAACACAGTGGTGTTCTGGCCCCAAGTGCCGTCAGTGGCCTGAGCTCCCCCGCTGCACCCTGGGGCCCCCAAGGGCCCTCACCTTTGGTCCTGGATGGATGTGTTCAGAACTCTGAAGAAAGACTCTCTGATTCCCAATAAACGGCTCTCCCAGTCCTGGCTGCCGGGGGACCTCGGTGCCCAGGAAGCTGCCGGGGGACCTCGGTGCCCAGGAAGCTGCCTGGGGACCTCGGTGCCCAGGAAAGCCTGGCACCAGCCCACCAGCCTCCAGGTCTTGCCTTTCCTGAGCTACGAGCCATCGACTCAAGCCTTCCAGCCCCGAAGCTGTCTTCACCTCGGAGTCTCATCTTTGGCGTCGTCACAGCAACCACACAGGGAACTACTGCAATGGCCGAGAGCAGGTGGCTCCTTGGTGAGCCGTGAGTCAGCAGCTCAGAAGGAGATGGGCGAGGGCGGTGTTGCAAGTCTTTTCACATTCACTTTTTGATCTTAAAGTAAACTCAGTGGGTTCATTTTACACGAGTCAAGCCCCATCGCCCCCGGGGTTAGCCATCACTGATGTTAAATGTCTTGGCTGCTTATCCTTACAGATCCCAAAAAACTTCTCGCTCCTTTTCACTCAAGAATATTGACTTCCAGTTCACCTGTGTGGTGCCTTGTAGCTTCCTAGTCTAACAGCACACACCAGAAACATTGCTTTGTCGGAGGGGAGAGCAAATCACAGACCATAGGTGGAGGCCATGGTACTGACGAATGCAGGGAAATGAACAGCGCGGAGTCCTGTCTGGGCACCATGGGGCAGAGCTGCCGGAATGGCCTGAACTCAGCCCAGGTCGTGGGGAAAGTCAGCTTTTCCGCCTGGCTTAAGCTACTCTTACTCATGACTAAAGCTACTCTCAATTCATATAGGTCACGACAGGAAAGAGCCCAGGCAAGTGAGACTATGTGAAGCAAGTACATTTCTCCAGGCCCCTGGAAGGCTGCTTTTCTGGGACTCAGATGCCTCTAGGTCAGGGAACAGGGTCCGAGGTCTCTGGAGACCGTGGTTCCTGCGCGGTCCATGGGCTGACCGGAACGTTCTTCATAACACTTGATTTCTCTTCATTTGCAAACATCCTCACATCACTTTCCTGTTGGCTGTAACCTGGGAAACACGCACTTTCTGATCGCTGTCATTGCCGTAACCTCTGTCCTAGCTCCCATCCAGTGAAGTGTGAGCTTCCTATCACTGCATTTCAGGGCCTCAGAAATTTGGCCACAGGCCTTTATCTCCAGGAGGATGAGCCTGACCACCCTTGCGTGTGCGCACTCGAGCTGACCCCTCCACCCTGACGTGGATGCTCACTGCCCGTGGCAGTTGTCGCCCGAGTGGCCTTGGTGACACGTGCCTCCTGGTGTCACGTCCTGTGTGATGCCTCAGCACACTGGGCGTGGACTTGGCCGAGTCCCTTTCCTTGACAGCTGAGACAGCAGCAAACGGGACACGCGCCCACGACTGCAAAGAGCTAGTGTTGCTTATCTCCCCTCTGAAGATGCACGTGTCCTTGAGGAGGCCACGCCGCACCCCCTGAGGGTGAAGGGCCAGCTGGAGGGGGAGACCAGCTGTGTTCACGGAGCCCAGACCCAGGCCAGCCTCCAGCTGAATGTGACTGGGTGACTGGGGCCAGGAGGATGTAGCAGAGTGATCACCCACACAGTGTACAGAGCCACAGGAAAAATTCAGTTATTGTTGCTTTAAATCACCAACTTTGGGTATAGTGTGCTCACAGGCAGTAGTTAGCGGATAAATGTTTTTATTTTGTTGTTGTTGTTGTTGTTACATGTTCTCCTCATTCTGTGAGTGAGCCAGCACTGTTTAAAGCACAGACCCTCAAACAATTCCTAATTCACATTCTCTGGAGGACTGTCTCATTCACTCATCCCCAAAAGATTTTTGAACATCTCTTATGCACTCATACTAGTTCATGGGAATAGAAAAAAGATTGAATACTCCCTTGGGGGGTTCCAGGGCAGGCGAGCTTACCCATCCTCGGGGGGAGGTGAGAACACCGGTGAGCACCACAGCTCCCCCAAAGGAGAATGTCCTGCCACTGCCCCAGCGTGTGTGACTCACGTGGGCGCTTCCCTCCAAAGCATGGCTGTGCCCCGCACCGCCGGGCAAGTGTCTCTGGGGTTTGCCAGGGTTGCATTTCCATAGCCCATCAGTATCCAGAGGCTACTACTTCTTTGAAATTCATTTCTTCTCCTTATGGATTCTACTTATTTCCTTCTGAAAAGGAAACACTTCTCTCAAAGCCTCTCATCTGTGAGTCTGAGAATCTGCTGTTTCTAATCAAATATATACACACCTCCCTATTCCTCCCCGGAATGGCCCTGAGCAAAGAAGCCTCACTAGTAGCTCTTGTTTTACGCTGCTAAGCCTCCCCATCATCGAAGCAGCCGCCTCCTCACAGGCAGGTGAAGCGGGACAGAGAGGAGCTCCCGGCCCTGCAGCCCAAACACACCGTCCCAGCCAGCTGCAGGGGGTCCATATTTGCTCCCCCTTGGCTTGAAATATTCACCCACTTAGTTTAAATCCTCTCCCGCTGACGGCGCATTATGTCAGGTAGTTCATATGCACTCTCAAACCCACTCTCTTGAGACAGCCCCCCTCCCCTGCGCCCCGACACCATTCCACCTGTGGCAGCTGAGACTCCCCATCTGCAGGACTCACCCCACTTTCCCCTGCCCGCCTGTGACTTCAGCAGCTATGCAACGGGACAGCTTCCAAGCTCCTGGGGACACCCCAGGGCTGCCTGGCCTCAGTTTTCCCCGTCTTTTCGTAAGGACAACTGTCAGTTGTGGGTCAGGGCTCACCTTAATGGCCCCATCTTAACCTGATCACACTGTGAAGACCCTAAGGGACAAATTCCGGGGCTCTGGGGAGGGGAGCTTAGCATATGAGCTTGGGATCCAGAACCATGGCCTCCGGAAGACCCACATCACAGGACCCCAAAATCCACCTGTGCAGAGCCCCCGCTCTCCACAAGCTGCCCCTGGCCAGGTGCTGAGCTGCCTGTTTTCAGTTGAATCAGTCTCGTGTCATCAGAAACACAAGCCAAGCTTGCTGAAGAAAGGTAGAGCCACAACTTTGGGGACAGGGGTGGTTGGGAGGCAGCTACAGATGACAATGTCAAGGTGAGAAAAGTGCACTTCATGACCTCAAATGGTTGTCGCTGGGGGTGCTCAAGAAAAGACAGGGGCTGATGGCTCTCAGTGGGATATCCGAGCACCCTCCTCAGCCCCCAGGCTGACCTCCTGAGCTGCCCGCTGCCCCCTCAGCAGTGTGCTTCCTCCATCTGCCTGCTCTGCTCCCCGCTCTGTCTCTGGTGGATCCTCTCACCGCCCCTGCACCTCTGGCCTGCACCCCAGTTATGCATGCATAAGTGAATTAATCCTGAAAAATAAATAAATAATTTTAGGAAGCCACAGGAGGCTTTTCAGCAGGTGACGTGATTCCACCTGGTGTTTAGACAATTAGCATCACCGTCGGTGTTGGGGCTCAGGGTCTCTCCTGCTGCTGACGCAGCTCAGACACCACGCTGGAACTGGCAGCGTGACAACACTGATCTCATCCTCCTGCCCCTTCACCTCTCCACCTCTGGGGCCCCCTGGGGACCTGGGGCCTGCTTTTAGGGGGGCCTATGCCCTGGCCATCCCCCCTCAGGCCCCATGTGCCCTCCCTGACCAGGTTGGGCTGCCCTCTCCTGGGTGGCGACAGCGCCCCCTGCCGCTCTCTGCCGGCCGGCGGCGTTGCACTGTGGCAGGGGCCCAGGAGGCCACCCCCATCACTTGGACCCGAAAGCGCAGGGGAGGCGAACTCGGAAGCAAAGGCACGCGCGCCCCCTGCTGGCCACGCGCGCTCCGTGCAGGCGGGAGGTTTCTTTAAGGAAGTGACTTTCTTTTCGTAAGATGATAAGGCGATGGCTGTCAGTTATCGCTTTGCGAGGAAATGCAAAACTCCAGTCATTCCCCTGATGATGAGTACTTGGCTCACTGATAAAATGTGTACCCCGTTTTAAATAAACGATAGGGCTAAGAGAGAGGAAAAGGCGTTGGGTTTAACAGCGCCACCGTCCACCTGCAATTTGCTAGCGATGTGGGGGGTGGCCAAGAGCTGACCGCCGGCCCTCTGCTCTGTGCAGAACAGGGGTTAACGCCAACCCAGATGGGACCTGTGGGAAAACCGGCGAGCTCACGGCGCAGGGAGCTGGTCATCGGAGCTGGTCGCTGTGTGCAAGACTCAGCAGCTAACATACTTGCTGTGGAGTCGTTTATAATAGGGAGAAGGAAAGGGGAACGGCCTCGATGTCGCTAGGTGTCCAGTGGTGAGGTCAGGAGTCTAGACTTGAGGTCCCTGGACTAATGCAGAGATGCTTCTGGAAGGCCTGTCTCCAACGCAGCAGAAGCTGGACTTCAGGCGGGCAGGGTAGGGATTTTAGCAAGGACCACAGAAGGCTCTTATTCATGCTAAAGTGAGAGCGTCGATGCAGGGGCCCTACAATAGTTTTTAAAACATACTGGTGTGTTAGAGAAATAAAGCAAATTAGGTGAAAAGTTCAGTATAAAAAACTCCCGCACCTGCACATGTGCTCACGTGTAAAAAATGAACAGCGATTACTTCTAGGTTCGTTTCTCAGCGTCAACAGGATTAACGCTTGCGGCTGCGATTGGCCAGTGGCGCCCTCTAGCGCTCACAACCAGTGTGTCTCCACGCTGCCCAGGGCGTTCACAGTTCTGAGACGCAGGGCGCATTGACACTCTACTCTCTCCCCATTTTTTAGCTTTTTTCTAAAATATTTTAGTCATGTAAAAAAAGCTGGTGCTTCTTAATGGCCCATTGCCCAGGCTTCCAAACACTCACGTGAAAAAGATACTCACACGAGCATTTACGGTAAGTAAACTGCTTTTATTATGATTCTAAAATAATAATGGTAAAACATACAAAAACCTCACAAACTTCAACGTCCCTTTCAAGGCTTTAAAATAAAATCCCGGATGGCTTCACGCATAGCAGGAGCACACAGGACCAGGGGAGAAAATAGTAACAATGAACAGCTATAGACCAGAGACATTTTATGGGGGTGAGTGGGGAATGGGGTCAAAAACGGTGGGGGAGAGAAGTGCCCTGGACTGTGGTGATGGCACAGGGTGACTTGGTGATGGGAAGCCCACGGGGATGACCACTGAGATGGGAAAAGGCACAAAACGATGTAAAAATAAGCTATTCTACTATTTTTTAAAAATATGTCTGAGCTGGGGGTAGGCAGGCTGACTCTCAGTGTCTGTCCCAGAGACGCATTCTAAATGCAGGATGTGCTTTGCAGACATGGCGATTTCCCCAACGGCACTTAAAAAAAAAAAATACAGAAAGTCACAAACCTAAAGCCCACAGCCCACGGCGGTACAGTCACTAGCCAGCCTGTGAGTCGCAGCCTGCGATGAGGCCGACGGGTCGGTCACCCGGCAGGAGGTCCGGCGCAGTGCGAGGGAGGCGAGCGGGAGGCCAGATGGATGCCAGCTGGTGTCACTTGTACAACAGCGCGCTGGGCGATGGAGCTCTCTCCGCTCTTCTGAACCGCCCAGATTCCCAGTGATCAGCGCGTCTACATTTATAGTGAGAGCAGAAATTGTAAAATTTATTTTTAGAAAACCTAAAAAATGATCACCATCGAAAATGAGCCCAAAGAGCGGGAGAGAAATATCTTTATATTGAAATGGGCACACACACACGGGCATCTCCAGAAAATAAAAATAACTTTGCTCCAGAAATGAAACCTCGTCAGCAAGTACAGGATAAACAAAATGGGATCAGATCTGCACCGTCAGCCCCGGGAAGGGTCAACTTGAGGGGGTTGGGGGGGACGGGTGCTAGGGCGTGACCAGCGGGGGACAGGACATGGTTTCTATGAAAGACACCGGGCAGTTGTTTTCCAGACTTGGATCAGATTCCTTCCCCTGCACTGGATGAAAATCGACTCCAGCCGCGAGACAACCTTGCTCAGCGGTGTTTGCCTTCGCCCAGCGCGGTGGGCAGCAGTGACACACACAAAGGGCTCTCGTGGCCGCGTGGGTCGGTGTTTACCCAGCCTGGCGAGGGCAGGTGGCACATGGCGCCTCACGGCCTCCGCGTCTTTCATGCGGAGCCAGGACTAGGTTTTACAATAGACCTCGAAGAGCGAGGCAGCTGCGTGCATGCGGTAGAAAATAGAGAACGGCATGGCCAGGTTGACCACGATTATCCAGGGCTCAAAGCCAAAGACAATTTCCTCCAACCCGTTGTCATACTCTGGGCGGCAGCCGAAGGCAGGAGGTATCCAAAGCTGCAAGAGAAGAGGGGGCGGCGGGGGAGCGGTTGTTAGAACCCCGCAGACCGCAGACCGGGGCACTCCCGCGCCCTGGACCCCAAAGGGGCGGAGTCAGCCGGAGGACCAGAGCCAGCGCGCTCAGCCGCTCCTCTGCCTCTCTCCCCTCCACTTGGGCGTTCTCGACCCAGTCCCATGCTGGCCATCTCCACAGCCCCCGCCCAAACTCCACAGGGATCCTTCCACCCCCACCGGCCTGCCAGAGAAAGTCCAACTTCTCGCGGGACACCCACTCTGGACTCCTGCCCCCTCCGCCCGGCGCCCCAGCGCCCCCAGCCCGACGGGCCCTCCACCCCCAGGCTTCAGGGCTGCCCTCCGACTCCCTCCATCCTTCTGCTGTCAAGTGCGGCCTTTCTCCAAGTCCTGAGACACCGCCCCTTGCAGGAAGCCCTCCTTGATCTGCTCACTGCCCGCAGGATCCCCCTGCGAGTTCCCACAGCCGCAGCTTCACCGCAGCGGCCTCTGCAGGCCAACACTGGGCTTGCTGGCCAGGCCCCGGTCTGCGCAGGCGCTTTCTAGGTCTCCTGCTGGCTCCCTTCAGCTTGGAGCTACAACCCAGGCCCTGTTCAGGGAGCTGACCCACCCCCATCAGGAGCATCACCCCGGTGGCAGAGGCTAGAGCCAGAGCCCCAGAAGTCCTGCCCCATCCATGCATGGACATCAGCCACACACAGTGGCTGCCAGGTCCCCGGACCAGGCACTGGCAGTGGTGGGAGCACAGAGTCTCCGAGGGGAAAGGTGAGCCGGCAGCGGAGCGCTCTGTAAGGTGCTGGGGGTGGGGGGCGGGACGGCGGGGGTTCGAGCCCGCACAGCCGTGAGAGCGCCTGACATAGGGCCGGCCCCTCCAGGCCGAAAGGCTCCGTGGCTCCCTGCCCACTGAGGAGGGGCCCTGGCTCGGCCGCGCCCGCCCCCCAGCTCCAGCCCCGCCGGCTTCCCTCCTGGCCACGGTCTCCCCGGCTGCTCGCTCCGCCCATCGCCCACCCCCACCGGCCA